AGTGCCATGGCATCACAGCTCACAGCAACCTCCAACTCCTGGGCTCAAGCGAGTCCCCTGCCTCAGCCTCCCAAGTAGCTGGGACTACAGGTGCCCGCCACAACGCCCGGCCATTTTTTGGTTGCAGCTGTCATTGTTGCTTGGCGGGCCTGGGCTGGGGATTCGAACCCACTACCTTAGGTGTATGTGGCTGGCGCCTTAGCCACTTGAGCCACAGGCGCCGAACCTACATTGTTAATCTGTCGTGGCAACTGAAATTTCCATCACTTAGGCATGCCCTTAAAATACTGACCCATGGTCCACAGCTATTTGATCTGAGTAAACCTTTTTGCACTTGTTTTACATTTAAGTTGGGCAGTGACAGTCACTGTGCTCTAACTCTGGATAAATGGGTTCATTAACTAAATCTAGTTTGATCCCTAGACATTATCATGAGACTATAGCTTTAGACATTAAAGTTAACAGTTCAGGAGAACAAAATTCCTTACTGTGTTAGGATTATTTTTCACTGCTAGTGAAATACGTATGATATATTACAGTACAACTAACAATTTATAACTATGTAGCTCATTTAATTTTAACAAATTAAACATTTGTGACCAATTCTCAGATCAAGAAACATTACCAGCTCTCTCATGCTAGCTTCAGGTACTATCCTTTCCCAAGGTGACTACTATTCTGACTTATCTAAGTAGTTTTCTTTATGAAAAAGCAAGGTAGAGACTGCAAGGCTCTATCAGGGGTGTCTAACCTTTTGTTTCTCTGCCATACATTAGAATAAGAATAGTTGTTTTGGGCTACAAATTAAATAAACAAACACTAAAGAAAGCTAATTAGTTTTAAAAAAAAAAAAGTTCTTGCATAGTTTTCATGATATCTGATACCACAGGTAAGCAAAAAAATTTCAAACAAAATCAGCATGTGGCCCACAGCTGCAGGTTGGACCCCCCGCCTAGGAGATCTGTAATATATCTGCTAGTATAGTTGAGGATTTTTTGTTGTTATTTTTGCTTCTTTTGTGAGGATACTTTTTAGTAGAAGATTATTCAAGTCAGAAATATGGTGTGGTTCCTGTTTAGATTTCAGAGGAACAGTCTCCATATTCTTACATATAATAGATGTCAGATGTGTATAGGTATGTGTTGGGATTTCCTCATAACTGTAGGGTGTCTCATTTTTCTTATTGCAGCCTTGCTCTATGACCTCTCCCACACATACATATATTCATTCTGTTTTATACATTTATCTTTAGATGTCTCATCAGTAGACTATCAAATGATTTTTTGAGTTTTACTGCCTTAATTTTTGATTAAGTTAAAGTATTTTTTTGCTACAATACTTAATTGATAGGAGGGAATAATAATTACACACAGTTCACAGTTAAATATTTTATTTTCAGTAGTGGACATCAATGTAACAGAAACACAAGTTTGTCTGAGTATAGAAGCTTGTACAATCAGACTGCCACCGCCTGAGGTATCACATATTTTGATTTCTATAATTTATTATATTTACTATATACTTTTATATACTTTCTATGTTTATTATTACTAATATACTAGTGAACTTTAATATTTAACATAAAAGTTGATAGGAAGGTTTTATTATTAAAATGATACTAAGTGCTTGATCTGTTTATATTCTAAATCTGCTTCCTCAAAGAAAATACTCTTTTTTTAAAATTTCTTTGTTTTTGAGACAGAGTCTCACTTTGTTACCCTCAGTAGAGTACTGTGGCATCATAGCTCACAACAATCTCTAACTCTTGGGCTCAAGCAATTCAAATTTCTGGGACTACAGGCGCCCATCACAACACCCATCTATTTTTAGAGATGGGGTCTTGCTTTTGCTCAGGCTGGTCTCAAACCTGTGAGCTTAGTCCCTAACCCCCCTTGGCCTCCCAGAGTGCTAGGATTACAGGCATGAGCCACCACGCCTGGCCTAAAAATATTCTGTCTCTTTAACACAGGTCTTATATTTATCCCTTCTGTTGGTATCAATACTCAGTATTTAGCTACCCAGTGACTTTAGAATCATCCTTGGCTTTTCTTCATCCTTGTTTCCTCTTTCCAATTGATCTTTTATAGCTTATCTTGTTCTGAAACTGAGTACTGTCTGTCTCCATCTCTATTGCTCTAATTCAGACTTCCTTCTTTTGCCTAGTCTGTTAAACTAGTCTCTGTGAGGGCCTTCTTATTTCCAGCCTTTCCTTTTCTGATTTATTCTGTAATCCTTTCGTACAATGTCAACAGAGTTCTTTTTCTGAAACATAGGTCCCCAAACTAAGTATATCTCCAGTTTCTCAACATTGTCTACATAAAATTAAGTCCAAGTATTTTAGATTGGCATTATGAAGAGGAAGTGGTATTTATTGGTTACTTGATTTTCAATACAGTTTTGGTTACATAAAGATACTTTATAAATATTTAATAACTAAATAAATACAAGAGGTTAGCAATCTCTTGTCTAGGTTATAAAAAGTTGGTATTTTGAAAAGTAGTAGGCAATGAGGCTAGAACATGTTACCCAAAGATGCTATGGTGATAGACTAAAGAGGAGGTGAAGAATTGTGAACTGTTGTCTGTAACCTAAATATAGTATCTTTCTACCTATTAATACTTTATTTTTTAACCTCCTTTGAGGTCTCACTCTCTCTTTAATTATAAGAAAATGCCTCCCATGGGAAGTTCTCAGGGTGAGAGAATTATAATGGGAAAATGATGGTTGGCTAAGTACAAACTTAAATACCCTTTAGGTTCTCTCTTTAGGTAGAGAACCTGAGGAACAAGGAAGAAAGTATTCAAGGAGAGAAGGGGAGGGGATATAAAAGACAATGGAACATTGACTTTGTGCTCTCCCCTCCTAAAGTCCAAATATAACTCCCTTACCTTTCCTCCATTTTAAAAAAACGTCACCCTGTAACTCAGTGGGTAGGACACTGGCCCAGTATACCAAGGGTGACAGGTTCAAACCTGGCCCCAGCCAAAATGCAACAAAAAAATAGCCAGGCATTGTGGCGGGCACCTGTAGTCCCAGCTACTTGGGAGGCTGAGGCAAGAGGATCGCCTAAGCCCAGGAGTTAGAGGTTGCTGTGAGCTGTGATGCGACAGCACTCTACCAAGGGTGATAAAGTGAGACTTCTGTCTCCCAAAAAAAAAAAAAAAAGTCAAAACATTAGAAGTAAGACATTATTCTTATAAAATGTAAATGTATGCCTTTGGAAAGTATTCAACTTAATAAAAGCTTTTTATTATTAACATAATAAAATCCCTGAAAGCCAGTTGAATACATACAGAATAGAAGTTTGGGTTTGGAGGATGAGAGGAAGAGCATGACATACTTATTATAATGTATAGAGGAGAACAGGGTGAGTTGAAGCATAGTTTACATTATGTAAACTGGTTATGCCTGGTTTATACCTTTTAAACTACTTTAAACTATGTGAGAATATAACATAAGTATTCTTTAATGTTTCTTTTTCTTAGACAAATCTTTTGAGGACTTACACATTAAAATCTTTTTTCTATTAAAAGCTAAAAGAATTTGATATTTCTCAGAATATTATAAAGGATTTTTACACTAACGAGAATGCTGTTATTGAAAGACACTCCATTTTAAGCAACTGGTGCTACGTTTTGCCAAGGTGAGATTTCAGTTTGTAGTATCTAGGGTGAGTTCCTCTTATTTTGCTTCCTTAGCATTTAGATATGCAAAAGTACAAACCACTTTGATGTATTTTAAAACTGTATTGTAACTTAAAAAGCACTGAAGTTGTATTTTTATACTTACAGAAGGCATAAATTTTTTTATCAAATTACTAAGATAATTTAATTATAATTTTGCATTATTGCGAGTTCTTGTTTCAAAATGAATAGTATTTCTGGATTTCTTATTATAAATTGATAACTATTATAAAATCAATAAAACCATATACATTTCTACCTAATAACGAAATTATCATTTGACATGAGCTAAGTTTTAAGTTTTTGCTGTCTTTAGGAAAAAAAAATGTGTTACTAATATAAACAGAACTATTGGAATGGAATTTTAACTTGCTTAGGCAAAAGAACTTAATACACATACTAACCCAATTATTGAAGCAGGGAAAGAGATAGATAAGAAATGTAGATTTTACTCTTAATTCATTCAACTCCTGACAGACTTTTCTCTAAAGTCTAACAGTTTATAGGCATACTTTTGTGTGGCAAAAATTCATTAGTCATTAGTTTGTGTTTCTAATTGGTACATTGTTTGCAATAATTTAATTTAGTTTTTCCTAAGAAGTTTAATTATTCAGATTTAATACAAATAAAAGCCATGTATGAAAAACTCACAGCTAACTCATGGTAAAAAGTTGAAAGCTTTTTCTTTAAGAACCAGAACAAGACAAGGATGCTTAGTCTTTCCACTTCTATTCAACATAATACTAAAAGTCCAAGCCAGATCAATTAGACAAGAGAAAAGAAATAAAAAGCATTCAAATTATAAGGGAAGAAGTTAAATTGTCCCCCTTTTCAGATAGCATGATCTAATATAGAAAACCTTAAAGACTTTACCCAAAACTTGTTAGAACGAATAAATCTGTAGAATACAAAATCAACACATAAAAATTAGTAGCATTTCTATGCACTGACAACAAGCCATCTGCAAAAGAAATCAAGAATGTGATTACATTCATAATAGCTACAAAAAAATACTCAGAAATAAATTTAACTGAAGAGGAGAGAGACCTGCATGCTGAAAAGTATAAAATATTGATGGAAAATTTGGAGAAAACAAAGATGTACTGTATTCATTGATTGGAAGAAGTAGTATTGTTAACTTGTTCCTACCCAAATCAATGTACAGATTCAGTGTAATCCCAATCAAAATTATGATGACACTTTTTTTCCTGCAGAACTAGTAAAACAATCCTAAAATTCATATGGAACTATAAAGACCCCAAATAACCAAAGCAATCTTGAACAAAAACCAACAAAGCTGGAGACACCATACTCTCTGATTTTAAACTATACTACAAAGCTTTAGTAATAAAAAATTATAGTACTACCATAAAAATGGACACATAGACCAACAGAACAGATTAGAAAGCTCAGAAATAAATTCACACATTTATGGCTAATTGATTTTCAACAAAGGTGCCAAGAACACACAATGGGGAAAGGATGATCTCTTCAATACGTAGTATTGGAAAAGCTGGATATTCACATGCAAAAGAATGAAATTGGACGTTTACCTCATAGCATATACATAAAACAACTTAAGATGGGACTTAAAGACTTAAATTTAAGATCTGACACTGTAAAATAACTAGAATACAGGAAGAAAGTTCAATGACATTGGTCTGGATAATGATTTTGTACATGACCCCTAAGGTACAGGTAACAAAAGCAAAAATAGACAGATGGGATTACATCAAACTAAAAACCTGCATAGCAAAGGAAATAGTCAAGAGAGTTAAGAGACAACCTACAGAAAGGGAGAGAATGTTTGCAAACCACACATTCAATAAAGAAAATGACCCAATAGCAAAGAAACAATAACCTGATTTAAAAATGGGGAAAGGACATGAATAGACATTTCTTAAAAGAAGACATACTGATGGCCGACAGGTATATGAAAAATGTTTCTTCCACATCACTAATCATCAGGAAATGCAAATTAAAACTATAATAAAATGTCACCTCAAACCTGTTAGAACAGCTTTATTCAAAAGACAAGACATAACAAGTATTGCCAAGGATGTGGAGAAAAAGGAATCAAGGGAATATAGTTGGTGAGAATGTAAATTAGTATAGCCATAATGGAAGATAGTATGGAGATTCCTTAAAAAATTAAAAATAGAATTACCATGGAATCTAGAAACTTTACTACTGGGCATTTATACAATGGAAATGACATCAGTATGTTGGAGAGAGATCTACACTCCTATGTTCATTGCAGCATTCCAGCCAAGATAAGGACTCAACTCATCTGTCCATCAACAGATGAATAGATAAAGAAAATGTGGCATATGTATACAATGGAGCAGTAATCAGCTTTAGAAAACAAGGAAATCTTGTTATTTGCAACAACATGGATGAGTCTGGAGGACATAAAATTATATTAAGTGAAATAAACCAGGCACAGAAAGACAGTACTGTACTATCTTACTTATATTTGGGATCCAAAAAAATTGACTCATAGAAGCAAAGAGTAGAAATGGTAAGTACTGTGGTCTGGGTAGATAGGGATGAGGGAGTGGATTAGAGAGATGTTGGTCAAAAGAGAAAATTTCATAAGATAGCAGGAATATGTTCAGGAGATCTGTTGTACAGCATGATGATCTGTAGCTAATAACAATACATTTTTTTCTTGAAAATCACTAAAAGGGTAGATTTTTATAAAGTTCTCTCACTACAAAAGATACATTCATACATGTGTTAATTAGCTTGATTTACCCATTCCATAATGTTTACATATTTCAAAATATCATGTCATACACGATAAGTATATACAATTTTTGTTAATTAAAACCAAACAAAAAATTTTAGTACAATGTGTGTCTGAAAGTAGGAGAAATAGTTTATTACTTATATATGGCTAATGAGGTAGTTTGCTAAATCTTTTTGAACACTTTCTAAATCATAAAGTTAACTTATCAAACTGTATTTAAGCACTGGCTCCTAATATTGCACCAATTATCACTTTTTATAGCATGAAAATGGGACAAATTATAAGTATTCTTCGTGCCATACCCCCTGACTGTCCTTTTCGCTCATATGAAGATTTCCAGATGCACTGGAATGACCTGGTAAGAATGGAAATATTTACTCCATCAGAAGTTATTTTATGTTATTTTGTAATTTAACCTAAGTTTAGTTTTCTCTAAGGTGTTTTAAATTTTGTGCTTGATTTTTAGTATGGCTATAAACTTCCAGAAGATGGTGGAAATATTAAAATATACTGCAGCGTCTATTTCAAAATGATTGGAGAAAGGACCTTCACGTATCCTTTATGCACTAGTCATAGCAGATGCTCTCTGCCTGCCCTGTGATCTGGTGTCTAGCCTTGATCCCACCACCTCCTCCTCATCATTTCCTGTTTTTTTTCCTTCTTCTTTTATATTCCTTTTTTTTTTTTTTTTTTTTGAGACAGAGTCTCACTGTTGCCCAGGACGGCTTACCCATGGCCTCAGCCTAGCTCCACAGCCTCAAACTCCTGGCCTAACACCATCCTTTTAACACAATCGTCAGCTAAGTTTTAATAGAGACAGAGTCTCACTGTTGCTCAGGCTGGTCTTAAATTAATTGTAGAGCTCAGGGGATCCTTCTGCCTCGGCCTTCCAGAGTGATTTACAGACTTGAGCCACCCTGCCCAACTGTTGAAATGCCCTGCCCTTCTTTGTGTTTAAATGAAGCTACAGTACTTTTTCCTCTACTGCTTACCTGCACATGTGTTTTGTTTTGCTTAGGAGTGCCTTCATTTTTATTTGAAGATGAACTTAATAAGAATAGATTTTTTCCCTAAAACACCATGTTAACAATTTAGAAAACAGAAGAAAAGTTAAAGTAGACAAAATATGTTAACATTCCTAATAGAAAGTAAAAAAAAAAAAAAAAAAAAAAAAAAAATCATGTTTCTCCTTAGCTAAGAGCTCCCCCCAGTGGCATTGTGTATATCATCAAAAGGGTTAAATTAAAGGAATAGGCTAACAAAGATTTTTCTATTTTACAGGCAAAGTATAGAGGATTTGACTCGCACTTAATGCACTGTTGATTTAATAAAATATCTTTCTTAATATTTTTTAAAAATCTACCTACAAATAAAAGAGCACAAGTTTTTTTTTTTTTTTTTGAGACAGAGCCTCAAGCTGTCCCCCTGGGTAGAGTGCTATGGCATCATAGCTCACAGCAACCTCCAACTCCTGGGCTCAAGCGAGTCTCTGCCTCTGCCTCCCAAGTAGCTGGGACCACAGGCGCCCTCCACAATGCCTGGCCATTTTTTGGATGCAGCCATCATTGTTTGCCAGGCCCGGGCTGGATTCGAACCCGCCACCTTAGGTGTATGTGGCTGGCGCCTTAGCCTCTTGAGCCACAGGTGCCGTGCCAAAACTGTTAGATCTTAATTAGTACTGGTTTCTCCATTCCAGTCTCTTAGCTTTTGTATTCTGACCTGCTGGAGTTTATAAATAGAAGAGTCATAATGTTCTCTTTCTGCATCTCTGTTTCCTAACCCAAATATTAAGAATAAAACTGAAGTTGACATCTGTAAGTTATTTCCTTTTATTAGATGCAAGATATTATTCCAAATTTTCAGAATGTTTTTCATCAAAAACAGTTAACTGCTTTTTCAAAGAAATGTTTTTGGAGCTTGAGTACAATCTATATACATTTGTACTGAATTTTTTTACTGTTTTTGGAGTGCAACCTGTTTATTGTTTAGTATAACATTTTTATAATCTGTAAGATTCATAGTATTATCCTTATAAACTTGTTTTTGGAATAGTTTGCCAGTCCATTTAGAATGCCATATAATAAGGATATAATGAATTGTCTCAATTGTGAATGTTAGAAGGAATGAAGATTCATGTGGAAAAGTATGCTTTTCAGCTTATAGTATTACATAAACAATATGAAAATAGTATTTATGTATGCCTTTGTAATGTTACTATTTTAATGCTTTTAACAATTCCATATAAATTTCTGTCTTTATGTACAAAATATTTGACATTATTCTTTAACATTGTTCAGATACCCTCTCAGCTGCATCAGAAGTCAGCCCGTGCAGTTCTTCCCAAGGGTAGATTTGGAAGGTGTGTTGCAAAGTTTCCTTTCAGATTTAAAGTCTAGACTACCTCATATATGTGGATTTCCCATAAGGATGACAAACAAACCATGCTACTTCACACAAGAACTAATGAATCCTCACATACAGGTAAGAGATTTCTTATCCTAATTCTGAAAGACATCCACAGATTTTACTTGAATCTCTTGTCTTTGGGGATGGAATGTCCAAACCATTGTTTACTAATTCTTTCCTGTAAGTTCAGTGTTTCCCTAATACTATTTATTATTATTGCATTTAGCCATTTATCACTGCTGTTTGTTGTTGTTGTATTCAACACAGTATTGTAGTAGTAGTTTACTGAAGTGTTTCCCTCACATCAAGGACATAAAGAGTTTGTTGGAAAGTAAAGAGAGAATTTTGTGAAGAGTATTTATTGTGGAAATGCTGAGCTGTCAGGTCAGGTGAGTGCCTGCCCCTCACCAAGTCAAGTAAATGGGGAGCTTCTATGGAACCGCTCAGAACTAAAAATGGGACTCCTGCAGTATGAGGAAAGCAGCAGGCCAGGGTCTGGCTCCTGTCTGACATCATTAAGAAGTTAGTACGGATAACTGACTGTTTGTTGATATACATATTTAAAAAGAAATGATCATTTGGGGATTGGCTTACACCCCCCGAGTTTTTCAGAACAAAGGAGATAACTTAATGCAAAATCAGATGTAGAGGTTTTATTTTTAACCCAGGTGGAAAACTTTCAGGGAAAAGGGTATTTCCTGCTGGGTTTGTCTCTTCTGCATTTTTAAAATCCATTTTTATGGTGACATATGGCATACATACAGAAAAGTATATACACATACAGGATAACGAATGCTTATCAAACACCCATGTAACCATAACCTAGATTTAAAAAATAGAACATGTACCTTCCTAGTCATCACTCCTTCCTTTCTTCCAAAAGATAACTACTATCCTCACTTCATAGAGAATCATTGTTTTTTTTAATCAACTATGTTTGTATCCTTAAACACCATCCTTAGTTTTGCCTGCTTTTGAACTGTATGTTAAAGAAATTATCAAGTGTGTATTTTTGTGTGTCTGAGTTTTTAGGTTCAGCATCATGTTTGGAACATTTATCCATGTTCTATGTGGTAATAGTTCATTCTCATTTTTGTGTAGTATTTTAGTACATGATTATACTGTAATTTATTTGTTCAGAATAACCATTGATTTAGATTGTTTCTGTTTGGGGGTTATGACTAGTAATTCCACAGTGAACATTGTCGTGTATATCTCTTGGTGCACATGTACATGAGTCGCCAGAAGGGGAATTGGTATGCTTCCAACTTCAGTACCTAAGCCAAACTATTTCCCTTAGTGGTTGTACTAATTTGTACTTTGCCTCACCTCTACCCAAGCAGAGTAGGAGAATTGATGTTGCTCCACATCCTTGCCCATATTAGGTATTGTGAGTCTTTAATTTCCACCATTCTGGTACGTGTATGGTCAGCAATTTTTGAATTTGCATTTTCCTGACTATTAATGAGATTAAATAACTTTTCATATATGTGCTGGCCAAATGGATAGTTTTTAAAGTGCCTCTCTTTTATTATTCTACTGTATTATGTTTGTTTGTTTGATTTGTAGGTGTTCTTAACATACGCCAGACCTAGTTCTTTATCATTTATATACAGTTATCTTCTCACATTCTGTGACATGCTTTGTCACTCTCTTAATGAGGTCTTGGTGTCTTTTGGCAGAGTCTTAATTTATAGTCAGAATTTTCAGTTTCTTTATATATTTGGCATTTTTTGTGTCCTTTTTAAAAATATTTCTGTACTCCAAAGTCATGAAGGTATTCTCTTGTATTATCATCTAATAGGAGGTTTATTTTTCCATTCATATTTAGGTCTACAGTCCAGTTGGAATTTATTTTTATAATGCAACATGGTGTAGGGAATCATATTTCTCTATTTATATGGATATAAATTTGTCCAAGAAAAAAAGACCACTCTTTCCCTACTGTGTTTTTTCTCCAGTACATCCTCCCACCCCAGTATCTTCTAGTACTACTTTTGTCATAAGTCAAGTGTCTTAATCTTCTCTGGTCTGTTTATCCTTGCACCAATACCACACTTCTAGAATTATCTTAATATTAAATTTTACATTTATTATAAATAATGTTGTAAAAACATTAAATTTCATAATATTTTTGAAATCTCAAAAGTAGCTATTCTTTATCTGTGCATTTCCAGATACATTCATTTAGTTTCAACTTGTCCAGTTACACACACACACACACACACACACACACAAACACACACACACAGAGATGTACACATACACACATAGAGCCTGCTGGGATTTTGATTAGAATTTCATTGAATTTTATAATCCATTAATGTTCTATATTTCCTCCCTATTAAATATATCTTCTTTAATTTCTCTCAACAATAGTTTGTAATTTTAGTATAGGGAAGACTTGTGTACTTTTATAATATCTATTCCTAGGTGTTTGATATCTTTGAATGTTATTAGGAATGATATTTTTAAAAATTTTATTTCTTTATTTTAAAATATTTTCAGATTTTCACATGGATTTCTTTTTTGTCCCATAAATTATTTAAAGGGAATTTCTTAATTGTCTAGTTATCTTATGTGTTTGTAGCTTAAATGCATTATGATCTATCAGTTGCTGAGAGGTGGTTCTCATCTCCCGTTATGATGGTAGAGTTGTCTGTTTCCACTTTCTGCTGTTTATTTATATGTATATATTCTGAGTTATTAGATACATGTAAATTTGGGCTGTTTATCATCCTGGTCAGGGGCCAACTCCTCCTACAATTGGTTGGAGAAAAATGATACAAAAATATGACAGCCTAGATAACAGGGGCCAAAGGCAAGACCATTTACTTAGAAGGAAGTGTGAGTGGACAAATACCAAATGACATCTTTATGATAGTGAATATTAAAACTTTGTCCAGACATAATTTTTTTTTAAAGTTTACTTGCTGTCCAAGTCCTAATCTGAGGAATTTGGAAGAAGATATGTCACTACATCATGCATTTTTATTAAATACCTTCATTGAGCAATATTTCCAGCCCATGTCTGCTTTAGAATTAGTGAATCAGAACAGTGTACTTGCTAAAATTTGTTTCATAAATGTAAAATAATGCTTAATTAGAAATTCTGATCTTTATATTATTCCTGACAATAAGAATTTATCCTACTCAGTTATATAGAGTACACTTTGTATGCCAGGTGCTTTTATGTGCATTACCTTACTTAACCATCAAAACTGATCTTGTGGATAAAGAATTCTTTCCTCAGTTTTGCAGAAGAGAAAACCGAAGCTCAGAGCATTCAAGCAGTTAAACCAAATCCACACACAGTTAATATACTGCAGAACTAGAAGTAAAACCAAATAGTCAGGTTTTTAGTCATGTAATTGGAAGAAGTTTAGATTTGTGGCCAAAAGCCCAAGCCCTAGGAATAGATAACTTGGATTTGAACTTTTTTTTTTTTTTTTTTTTTTGAGACAGAGCCTCAAGCTGTCCCCCTGGGCAGAGTGCCGTGGCATTACAGCTCACAGCAACCTCCAACTCCTGGGCTCACGCGAGTCTCCTGCCTCCGCCTCCCAAGTAGCTGGGACCACAGGCGCCCGCCACAACACCCGGCTATTTTTTGGTTGCAGCCGTCATTGTTGTTTGGCGGGTCCGGGCTAGGGATTCGAACCCGCCACCTTAGGTGTACGTGGCTGGCGCCTTAGCCGGTTGAGCTATAGGCACCGAGCCGGATTTGAACTTCTTACTATTTGTATAATTTTTGGCAAGTTATTTAATTTCCCTTTGCCTTAGTTTCCTCAGCTGTGAAATGGTATGGAGGCTAGTGGTGGTGATGACAGCACTTGTCACAGACTGGGCTCTCTGTCTCTGAGATGGAGTCTATCTCGTGTGTGTGATATTTCCTAGAAACTGCCCTTTGAAGCAGATGTGGATGGTAGGAAGAAGCAAGATTGGGTAAAAGAAGTGAAAAGCAAAGGCAGCCACCAGATAGCCTTGACCAGCCTTCTGAGGAGCTCCGAAACTAAAATGGCCTGTCCAGGTGGTTCTGCATTGGCCAGAGTAGCCAGGGCTTTAACAACCCCTCCTGCATCTGTCATTTGATTTGGGTCCCATTGACACGGACACGTTTTGGGTAGTGACTTTCTATAACTGGGGCAATCCCAGCAGCAGGAGCAGTGAGTCTTTCCTTGAAGAGGGCAGTATCCTTTGCAGTGCACAGTTCACAGGGCTTATTTTTTAGGATTAAAAGAGATAATACTGGGCTGCACCTGTGGCTCAGTGGGTAGGGCACTGGCCCCATATACTGAAGGAGGCGGGTTCGAACCCAGCCCTGGCCAGCTAAAACAGCAGTGGCAACTGCAACAAAAAATAGCCGGGTATTGTGGCAGGCACCTGTAGTCCCAGCTAATTGGGAGGCTGAGACAAGAGAATCACTTAACTTAAGCCCAAGAGTTGGAGGTTGCTATAAGCTATGAAACCATGGCACTATACCAAGAGCAACAGAGTAAGATTCTGTCTCAAAAAAAAAAAAAAAGAAAATACTTAGTTTTGTCTACTTAGCTCAGTAACCATTAGTTGTTTTTACTAGGCAACATACATGTCAGCTCTAACAATATTAAAAAGCTAAGTTTTAAAAACAAAAAATAAATTGATGAGACTACTTGGTGAAATTTTACCAACTGGCTCAGCGCCTATAGCTCAACCGGCTAAGGCGCTAGCCACGTACACCTAAGGTGGCGGGTTCGAATCCCCAGCCCGGACCCGCCAAAAACAAAAAACAACGACGGCTGCAACCAAAAAATAGCCGGGCATTGTGGCGGGCGCCTGTGGTCCCAGCTACTTGGGAGGCTGAGGCAGGAGACTCGCTTGAGCCCAGGAGTTGGAGGTTGCTGTGAGCTGTAATGCCACGGCACTCTACCCAGGGGGACAGCTTGAGGCTCTGTCTCAAAAAGAAAAAAAAAAAAAAAAAGAAAAAAAAAAAAGAAATTTTACCAACTTAAAAAAAATTAAATTAGGAGAAGTTAGCCAAAGATGACTTTTTTTTGCCTTACAAAAGTTTTCAAAGCTACATAAAGGAAATTTGTATA